ACAGGCCTTGGAAAAATGACCCTTTAATGTGACGTCACATGTGAAGATGTAGGTCAACACAAGTAAGTTATTCTCTTGAAGTCTAGTTATCCTGTAAAGTCACAGTCATTTCGGGCAAACTTTCTCCACTTTCACATAAAACTAAACGTCGAGAGGTATGGAAATTAGATTTTGCCTTCTGTTTTTACCAGGTAAGTAGTCCGAGGGTCAGGCGTGCACGTACATGTGCAGAGCCACACTACGAACGTCTGATACATCCGTGCGTGTAAATGTTATGCCACCCCACGTGCCAACCAATCGGGGCCGCCCATAGAATTTGTGACGTCATTAAGTGCAGATATTCGGCAGAAGATGTTGAGTGGTCAATAGCTGCCATGCTTTTCTCATACAACATCGGGTTACCGAAGACACGATGGAAGGCGCCCTCTGAAAGGTCAGAATCTTGAGGTCAAGACGCGCATCTTGTTTTTACGTGATCTACATGTACACGCATATAGATATTGCTGTGCAAGCGTCCCGGTCCATTCCATCTCAGACTACCTGGTAAGGTATTTTCCACATAGTGAGTATCAAGTGGAAAAGGTCTCGATTTTCAAATTAAGGGAACTCAACAATTCAGGAACTGAAGTGGGCTCACAATCAGCGGCGTATCCAGGTTTTTATTGTTTTTTTTTTTTTTTTTTTTAGAAATTGTCCGTTTTCCGAACAACTGAGGGCACTGTTGCTGTGGTGCCATTTCAATTCAAGCAGACACTGTCTGCAGTACGTTTAAGGGTTTTCTGTTCAAATTGTGAACTCAAAAATGTATTGAACATAATATTGTGACAAAATTGCTCATTGGTTACTGCCATGTACTGACACAACAACGAATCACCAAAGAATATAAAATGTTTAACAGCAAAACTAATATCCAAAATTCTGGCAACTTTTGGTGCTGAATTGAATAGAGGTTTCTGCCTGAAATGACATCACACTCTTGCAAAATGCAAATGAATACGGAAATTTTCATAAGCATACAAACCAAAAAGGCACCAAAATGCCCTTGAAAATGACAAAACGAAAATTGAAAACAGGGTTAAATGGGACACAAAGTGCATTTCCATTGATTTCATTTTGAAAAGAAAACTACATGCAATGGGCCAAATAATTGCTGCCATATGCGAGACTTTTGCATCGTTTGTACACAGAAAATTGTGTCAACATAGCGCCCTCATTCGGTCACAAACCATTGGGGTCGCACGCCTGTGTACGTGTGCAGTCCACACGCCGCGCTTTGCATATGTGGTTTTTTTCTCTTTTTTTTCTCCGCCTTTGAGAAAAGAACAAATCCACATTCAGATGTAATTTGTACCTACACCTGGCCTTATATTCGGACACCCAACGTCCCAACCGACACTTTCTACCATAAAAGAATCATGTGTGCTAATGAATCACTACTTATTACACTGGTTATTTTCATCTTTGGAAAATAACAATGCAACTCAAAATAACAAACCAAAATATTCGCCGCTGACCAAGTCAATAGAGGGGGCTGTTTAAACAACTCTTTTGACAACACACACCTCTGATAAATTATCTAAGGATATTCTCTGCAGCCTTACCTGATTCCCTTTCAATGAAATAATAATTTATTGAAACGTTTAGTTTGAAAAAGGGTAATTGCTCTCGCAGACTATCCAGAGAGAAAACCGAAAACGATACCCACCTGAGCTGCAAGAGTGTACGTACGTCCGCGTTGTTTCGGTCACATTTTCATTGGTCCCAGCACAGGTAGCCAAATGCACATTGTGAGCCAAGCAAGTTCGAAAAGCAGGATACCGGGTACCACTTAACAAACGGAAGCTGCCCAAAGCCCAAACGAACTGAGCAACATTCCGTTTGCGCTGTAATTCAAGCCGGAGAAATTTGTGTTCGCATCTAGTCTAAAAAGACGTAAGTGTCCTGGATGGACTGCGGAACATAGATTTGTTAGATGTGACGGAGCACTCAATCTTGACCTTTAAATACAATAAATACACCGTTCAATCCGCCACATGCAGTGGCCAAGGTTCTGCTCCTGTTGATGGCGCCTTGAATTGGATACAACCTCGGCCCCGCGGTGTTGAGCATGCAGTATGCTCCCACTACCTTCACTCTCGCCCTAGTATTGCAAATTGGGTATACGGAATAGTCTGGTGCCTGTCCATCCTTTACATCGGTGTGTTTTTGTATTGTTTTTGAGGAGTGGACTTTTTATAGGCTTAATTCAAAATGAACAATAAAACATGTTAGAAACAAAAGTTAACAAGAACACGATATAAATCCAATATACTTGCTACTGCGGTACCGAATCAGTACAGGAATCAAGTTTCCCACCCAGGGGTTACTATAGAAAACGAGCGTGGAATTAAGAATAAGCGCCCCGGGGACGAGGTTGCCATGCATCGCGCTGCAAGTTGTTTGCGCAAACGCGCGCGCATGTTGACCAGTTTCCAAAACTTCGACTTCATTTCCAGTTGGGATTCAGAAAATGCAAGGCCCCTGACTATGTTGGTGTAGTACGAATCATTGTGCTTTGGGAACTCCAAATCCTATAAAAAACGTTCAGTTTTGTAGTTTATTTTGTTAAAGGCTTTATCAATCTAGAGCCACAACTTACAAGAGATAACCAACGGCCAAAATTTAATAAATTCACAGCAGCCGATTTGTTTAAGGATAATAACTTACTAATTTCTTTATTTTGATTCTTTTTTTCCTTTTAATTTATAAAACTGAACATCTCTAGCAAATCTTTACATACTTTAAAACATGCACAGATATTTACACAACATTTGTACAAAATGATCACACTAGGAATGTGAACAATCGGTCAATAACATATGGAATACAATGTACTTCACCTTCGAATACAGCTAAATCAAGCAAACCTCTCTCTAACAAATCATACTCAAGTTCCCAAGATTTCCGTTTTAGGAACCAAGATTACAACCAAGGAAAAATAGGAATATGCCAACAGCACAGGCTAAACTTTTAATGGTAGAACTCTCTCCACATTACTGGCTACAACAAATTAAAATCGAGATGAGACTGTCACTTTAAAAAAAATCAAAAAATTTGATGTAAGGTCTAAAAGATGCATTTCTTTCTACAATGATAAAGTTTCTCTCTCAGATTCAAAAGGTCTGATTTTAGGCAAAAGTCTTATAAAAAAATTCATGCCTGTTAATACAATTACAAATGGCACCTAATACCATGAATGAAAAGAATACCATGCAGAATACAATGTGGATGTTTACTGTTTAATGAAAAAGAAAAAGCCGATCTTTGAAACTATTGCGCACAGGATTTTTAGTTTCAACAATAAGTGATGCAAAATTATATTGTCAAGTATTGAACTATCAATAGCAACTTCAAATAGTAATACAAATGCTAATAACTGGCGATTTAATGTTACAATCCAGGAAAAATTCTCCCTGAAAAAGTTCTTTGAATTTATTTTAAAGCAAACATAAACATTTATCCCTAACTCCCTACTGTCTTTTACTAGGTACTGGACCAAGTCCGCCAAAATCCATCACTGACCCTGCTTCACATAATGCTTTAGGACCAAATCTACCGAAATCCATCACAAGACAACCACTACTATAGGTTGGTTTTGATGGACTTGGTACTCATCGCTTGCCTACCAAAATTCCCCCAAATAGGGTGCGGGGGTGGATTTCATTGGAGTTGGGAATAGGATTTCACCACGGAAGGACATGTAGCTGCCAAAAAAAGTTACAAAGAGTACATGCAAGGTTTAGCTCAGCAAAATCCACTGCTATAGTGAGATTCAACTGAGAATGCTCAATAATAAAATGCTGGCTGCCAATGTGTCCTTGCGTTAGGTTATGTTTGGTAGGCCCTTGTTGCATGACATTTGCCACAAATTGCTCACAAAGCTCCAAAACGCCCTGCCCGTTATTCCGTGCGCGGTGCAAACTGCCCATGCACTCTATGGTTTTATGGATTATCATCAGGGCCCAATTTCATAGCACTGCTTAACAGTAAGCAGAAAAGTTGTGCTTACTATAGCAGAAAATCATGCTGCTGCTTAAGCACTATTTCATGCTAACGGTTGCGCGCGCATGGAGATTTCTATTGTTACGTCACTGATTTAAGCAAAGATTTCTTTTGGGGTTAAGCGTGCTTTTGCTGCGCTTACTGAATAACGGTCCCTATGAAATAGATGGAGGCTCGGTAAGCACAAAGTCGGCTGTTAAGCAGCGCTATGAAATTGGGCCCAGGTAACAAATACAATATATCACAATGTGGTACAGGTAAGGGTATTGGATATCATTGGGGCAGTATTTGAAGAAACGAAAATGCTGTTTTTCTTGCGGTGGTTTGGTCATAACCATCGCAAGGAAATTAAAACTTGTTAACATGCAGGGCAATAGACCATTTTCATGTTGCGGCCATCTTGATTTTTTTCCCATTCAAATCAACGTAACCAAAGCGAGGCTGGAAGGAAAAATAGTCTGGTTCCTTTTTGCACAAAAAAAATTATCATTCAGTACGGTTATTGGAATTGGATACAGGGATTGGATACATGACTGAAATGGTGGCAGCATGATAAAGCTTTATAAAACACTTACTTCTTGTGGTTAGGCAATGCTTAAAATTCAGGCATGCAACTGGGAAATTAAAAAAGAGGAAATTCATTTGTACAGTGTTTTACTATTTTTAATGGCACACATTGGAAGTAAAAAAAAAGAGGAAATCAGCTGATCTGAGAAAAAGTTGCATGCCTGTTAATTAAAGTACGTCAAGTAGGCCTGATGAAAACTTTTGAATTTATGACACTAAAAAAGCCCAGATGAAAATTTACAAAAACCACATAAAAACACATGCAAGCTTAGAAAATTATTTGATATCATTATCGTCAGCATCAATAACTTATGAAAAATAAGACAAGGCACAATAGTTACATGTTTCAAGGTGATGCTGTCTTAATAAATGGCCCCCAACATGAAACTGAACTTTAAAAAAATAAAAATTGGCAAACTCCAAAACCGGTTAAAATCAGCCCTGTTTTGCAGAACTTCAATATCCTTCATGCTTTGATTAATGAAAGACAAAATGTTATGATTCATTTGTACTACACCTTTCCACAAACCTAATCCAAAATCAATCGGCCCTAGACTGGTTCCCGCTCCCATAATATGGGGACCGGTAGCGAGTTCCCATTTAAAGCCATTAATTGGATCACCTCCGCTCATGCGCGCAGCAACGATTTGCTGAGATAACTGATGCTTAACTCGAAGAATTTTTGTTGAATATTTATTGGATATAGCAAAATAAAATATAACATGGTTAATATTTCGGGTGAATAGTTGATATTAGCTCCCCCTTGGTATTGGAAGTTGAAAAAACTAGTTCCTTGGTTTTGGAAGTTGAAAAACTAGTTCCTTCAGCTTTGCCTCGGTAACAAGTTTGTCCATTTCCAATACCTCGGGCACTAATATCATCCTTTCACCCTCATGTTATATTTGAATCCTACTGAATGTTATAAAACTAGGAAATTAAAACCTTATTCTAAATATTACATTGGAAACTCACTATAGAGGCCAAGTTTGGGAAAATTGCCTCAAGAGTGTACCCCTACATGTACAGAGCACACACTCTTGATTTGCTATACTCCCGAGGACAATGCTTTGTGTTTTCCTTTGTACCTGTAATATAACACACTCCCATAGACTAAGCACACAAACCTACCACAGAGGACCGTTTTCAACAAAAGACCCAACTCCTGAGGACTGAAAGTATCTGTTGTTCTCCCTTTGTGTGTCTGTCCTGGGGGGTTATGTAGAACAAGTACACAGATGCTTGTCTTCTGCGATGGAACCATTACCATTTCATAGTCTTGATCTTGGCCAGACCGCTTGCCGTGATCGTCCCGTGGGCCTGGGAGTAGCTGCCGAGCGTGGACTTCGGAACGCCAGCCGAGGGAGCGTTCTTAGCACCGTACTGCTTGCGACCGTAGGAAGGTCTGGGCCGGTCTTCCTTGGCCGAGACGGGTCTGTGGCCTGGGACCTACACAAGTCAAAATACATGGCGTAAAGAATAATCAGTGTTGCTTGTAATCCAGTCAATCAAAAGCAATGTCAAGGCCGCTGTAGTCGAGTCCATCACATGTCTGGTCACAAGTTAATCACAAGTCCTGTCACCTGGTGTAACGGTCTCACTTCTCAGGCATGCTAGCTTCTCCGAGAGGGAAGTTTCGCTTCAACACGCATGCACAACATTGCGCAGTAATGTACATTTTCGCCACCTTTATTTGTGTGCCGAGTTCTTTGGGGTTGTACTGGTGCATTTAAGATCTTAGGATATTTGTATGTACTTTACAGGGTACCAGTCGAATCCAGAAATTTCGTGGCACGAGTGCAATTCCCAATAACCAGAAAGACTTGAAGGATGCCTGTGCACATTTATTTTAAACCGTGGTTGCAAAAATAAAGACACGTGATGGACCACGAACAAGCCAGGAACACAGACCAAGGACTTAATTATTCTTCCATGCCACACACACATGACGCTGGGAACACAAATCAGAATGCTTACAAGGCCATGGAATGACTTGACCCACAGGAAGTGTTACATAACACATTCTTGGGTGTCCCTCACTGTGTTATTTATGGACTGGGTAGACTTCAGAACAGCCCGAGGAAAAGTAAGCACAGCAGACACATGAGCATGTATTGTGCTCATGTAATGTGCACTGTAACGTGCTAAATAATCTGCCGAATACACCCGGAGAAGCTAGCACGCCGGAGAAGTGAGCCCGTGACACCAGGATAAGGCAAGCCCATCACAAGTCCCAGGTAGTCCCTACAAGGCCATTGCAAGTCCTCCAGTCCCAATTCAACTCGCAAGCAACTCAAATGAGCTTTGACAATAGTATTGCTTTGTTGTTTGTTCATCCACTGTTTCTTGTGACAGGAATCATGAGTGGACTCGTGATTTACTTTTGACTGGACTTGTGATAGACTTGACTTCATGTACATCCCTGCCTAATATTAGTAACAGGGGATTAAAAGCATTGAACAGCTCAGTAGAATGCTATAGAATAATTTAGTATTGGATTACTCGAGACTGCATTTAACTGAATATCCGGATATTTGAAACTGTCATCTGCAACTGCATGCTGCGACCATAAAAGTTGCATGGAGAGTGTGCCAGTTGAAATGTGCATGCATCGATCGTTATAGGCCTATAGGGTGCTGTACTTTATAACTGTGAAAGGGCTACACCTGCTAAAAGGATGTGAACAATGAACCGCGTAACATTTTGGCAGTTTGATTTTGGAATGTTTGCGCACAATAGACATATTTTCCAAGGGGAAAGTTTTAAAGTATCTTACAACTCTGGAGCTTGTCACTGTGAGCCCGAGAGGGTTCTTGTCAGTGTCTCTGGTGATTTGAGGGTGGCGTAAACCGGCGGAGAACGATCTTGTACGATGGTGGCCCGCAGAATGACGGGAACTGTGATTTGGGGAATGATATTGCTGTGCGTGATTCTCACTTCCGCTACCAGTCTGCAGTCAATGGGGGAAAGAAAGTGTCAGGGTTTTAAACTTCATCTGAGATAAATTCAAAATATAAACAAAATGGCAAGATATAACAGTGACTAATTATAAATTTGAATGAAGCAATTGACCGGAGCAGGTTTTGAACCTGCAACCTCCGGATTGCCGTTCCGGTGTTCTACCAACTGAGCTATCCAGCCCTATGTTGGCGGTTCCCTATTTTGTCAATGCCTTTGTTCAAGGGCGCTAGTCAGAAGCCATAAGCCTAAAAACTTGGCTCAGCAGATTTTTGAGAAAACTGCGAAAAGCTTCAATTTTCTCATCGCAAAGCAAGACTCTGTTGAAATCCCTCCCTTCCAAAACATTCCGACTTGCATCATCTTGGGGTATATCCCAGTTTGCCACTTAACTAATAAGTGTCATTCACGGATATGTAACCAATTGGAAATTAAACTAAATTCGGCCAGTTGGGAGCAGCATTTGAAGAAAAAAAAATTTTCCCCTCAGGATGCAGATATGCAACTGGGGATTTAGCAAAAATGAGGAAAGTCCATTTTCAATTTGTAATGGCATTCATGAGATGGAAAAAAAAGAGGAACTCAGCGGATCCGAGCAAAACTGAGTTGCATGCCTGGCGATGATATAGTCCTAACCATCACCATGAAATTATGGTAATTCCTAATTTCTTGAAAATGACATCATGAAAGGCACAAACATTTCACATGGTGTTTGATCCTATTATTAAAATCAAGTAGAATATTTCACACTATTTTGCAGTATCATTTTTTGACTGTTTGCAAATGCTGTCCACTACCTTTAATCCTTTATAAAGTCAAAGCGTGATGTTGTTCCATTGGGTTCGGACACTACAAGTTCAAAGAGATTCTGGAGCTAGAGCTTCAGCCAAAGCTGGAGTCAAGGCCGAGATTTAGCAAATGGCTTGACAGACTTACAGCATTGATGTTTTCTAGACTGCGTTGCCTGGCTAGGAATCTCTGGCCAGCCTGGGCCTGTGTCCTAGCTGGGCTGCTGACTTGGCCCTGATCCTTGGTGGCCCTACCAATGGCCACCCCTGCAATGAAGACACACACATGATCCAAAAACCTTTAGGCCTCACAAAAGAGTGAGATAGGTAACCAGCTTTGTGACAAGTCGTCACCGTTATCAAGAAGGTACAGGCATGTGGATTTTGAAGAGAAACCGTTTTCGAGATAATCGCAAGAGAAGTTTCTCCAATTTAAGAACTGCAAAAACTACTACTTTGCAACAAATGTTTGCAATAGGGAAGCCTTAACATAATTATTTGATAAGTAAAATTTAATTTGAACCACCCAGTAATTAGAACTAACACAGTGGTTAATTTGCCAGAATTAATTAGTAAAGATGCCAGTTTCCCACATTTACGCCCTTCTTGTTCAATGTGTTTCTCCATAGGGAAGGGGCACACGTCTTTACGCCCCGCGCAGCTGAGAATGTAACATAGATGCCTGCCCTTCGTGAAAACGAAAATCTCAGTTGACCTACTTTTACGCCTTTCTGTGCAATACTTTTGTACGCTTTTAAGGAGCAGACATACTGCGTCTCTTCGTGAAAAACAAAATGCAATTATGGAGATGCGTGCCCCTTGCATCATTAATGTAATTTAGTACTTAATGATGTTTTGCTTACGGAAATATGTCAGAATGCTTTCAAAAAGTACCATATTTTATAGCAAAATAGTGAAAAAAACTTCATATGGAAATTTTTTTTACAATTATGACATGCCCGACCCTTCGTGAAAACGGTGACAAAGCGACAGTCAGTCAGTGAGATAGGTAACCAGCTTTAGTGACAAGTGACAGACAGTCAGTCGGATAGGTTCAAAGAGACCCTCACGGACTGGCAAAAAAGTCTTTCAAAATAATAATAGAACATTTTAGTCGGAAGAAAGTTGTAGTAACTTCTATAAAATGTATATTACCTGTTTGATAATGCGAATGACCATTTGTTTGCAAAGGTCTCTTGTTTGGCAGAAGGGAAGCCGATCTACTCCCCTGGGCAAGAGGAGGCCGTGTCGACCGGCCCCCTGGGAGGTAGGGGAGGTGACAAACACACAGGCAACAGGTACAGCACACACAAGAGTGCATACAAGAGTGTAGATACCGTCACACAAGCCACAGCACATACAGCAATGCAAAGGAAAAAAGCAGAAAGGAACAACACTACAGCATCACCAAATGAAATGAAACGAGTTACGACAGCAAGAAAGGATAGCAAAATAAGAAATAATATGAGGCCATGGAGCACTCTAAGTTCTGGGCCCAATTCCAAAGAGCTTCTTAAAGGCATAAACATATAGGATCATATGCATATGCCCCAAAAGTAACCTACCCAAATATTATCAAAAAGCTTACTGAAATTAAAGATCGTACTGGTACTAAATTTTACATCATTACAGCAGATAGGTGATGGGATTGTGCCTTTGATGATACAAGCATGATATTTGGCACACAGTCAGAGTACGTCCTGAGAAAGATATTTGGCTGTAGACCTTTATCATGCTGCCACCATTTCAGTCATGTTCCCTGTATCCAATAACAGTACTGAATTATAATGGTTTTCTGTGCAAAAAGGAACCAGACTATTTTTCCTTCCAGCCTCGCTTTGGTTACATTGATTTCAATGGGAAAAAAATCAAGATGGCCGCAACATGATAATGGTCTACAGGGCCATTGCAGATGTGTCTTTCAAAAAAAAAAAATAGGTAGAATAACAAGCAATGGCAGCCATTTTGAAAATTTTGAAAATTGCTTGTTATTCTACCTATATTTGTTCAAAGGACAAATCTGCGATGGCCCTATAGCCAATATCTTTCTTAAGACATACTCTGACTGTGTGCCAAATGCCATGCTTGTATCATCAAAGGCACAATTCCCCCAAATATTTCCCCTATCTGTCCCACTACAGTAATCAAGAAATGTTAGCTGATATCCAACAATCAGTCAACTGACTGATTTTTGGAATAAAGAGTTATGATGATGAAATCATGTTTCGTGATCAAAAAGGTTGTGCCTGTTTTTTTCAGTTTTCTCGAAAAAGTGTAATATCCACTGAGCTGAAACTTCAACAGGTTAAGGCCGATTCATACTTCAACCGAAAGCAAGTGCGAAGCGAAATTCATGTCGTTAACAATGACTTATTGACGACACAAATTTCGCTTCGCTTTCGCGTGAAGTATGAACCAGCCTTTAGGTTTTGAACATTCTTCTTTAGATTTTGAGTGGTGTTATTATTGGGAACGAACAAAATGCATGAAAAGCAAATGATCCTATATGCCTTTACGTTTAATTGCAAACTACTAAGTCTAACTAGGGGTGTGAGTGGAGTCCAAAAAAAATAGCTGAAAATAGCTGAACCTGTAAATAACCGAACCTGCGAGCGCGAAGCGCGAAGCCCTTATGGCGTGGGGTTCGGGGCCTGCCCAAGGGCCCCGGAAAAATTTTGAAATGTAGATGCTCTGTGGTGCATTTTAAAGCCCCCTGGCATGCCTGGGCCAACTATTGGTCGAAAATGTTTTGCAATTTATGCATGTTTTTAAGTTAACTTTTCCTTCATATTGGCTTGAAACTGCCTAAATGGCCAACTTGTATATGAAAACTGGGAAATTCAACCACGTTTTCCATATTTTAACTCCTTACTGCAGATGATTGATACACATCGTCACCGCGTGTCCCGGCTTCTGATCGAGTGGCCTAATTTCTGCCCATTAACCATGTGTTCCATCCAAATCCATTTCCACGGATTCGTAACCTGAGGATCGGTCTTGTCAATGTCCGAATCAAACTCCGAACCTCTTGGGATAATAACACATTTGTGTTGCACTGACATCTTGCGGAATTAATGTCAAAATACGTTCGAAACATTTGAAACGACACACTAACGTACGTATCAGCATGCAGCGGAATACGCAGCAGGCCGATGCGTGCATGCAATGAAATGCACACATGAACTTTGCCCCGCATGATGCCCTCTACCGGCGCGGCACGGCGACAATTTACTAGTCTTATTTCAAGGCTTTATATTTGCAACAAGACGATATTTACAGCGAGTTATTGTGGAGATCATCGCGTGTCACTACATGCATAGACACAGGAACGGCCGCAAAGAGTCCCAACGCGCTTCATGGCGCATGTGTGAATATTCATATTTATCTGCAGCCAATCACAGCGCAATGACTGTTGGTTCCCCGGATGCTGTTTACACGTTGTGTACACACGCGGCTTCGAGCTGAAAAATGCATGCACATGGCATCGTATAGTACACACGTACGTACGTAAATGTACATGTACATGTACAGTACATGTACATTGAATGCTCGCTTGCACGCACCCCATCTCAGAGCTACGTGTATGTTGTAGAGAGCGGATCGCGTGCGTTCGGCGGAAAATAAAATAAACGGAAATAAAATCAAAGCTTACGCGCGCGGGAAAAAGCGGGGGAAATCTGGACCATCGGAAGAAAAAAAAGCGGAAAACAAAATGTGGCACGCTGAACAAAAAAGCGGAAATCCGCTAAATAGCGGAGATTTCACACCCCTGTCTAACACCACAACAACAAAATTGACAGCATTGCGTGTAATCTACCACACAGCTACATTATCACTGGTCCTCATCCTGCCTACCTGTGTGTGCGGGCTGAGGCGCGGCCCCACTGGCGCCCACTACTGTTTTCTGTTTGCTGGCTACGTGGTTGTTTTGGGGCGGTAATGCAGCGACGGGGGCGGGCTCTGCAGGGGGCAGGGTTTCTCGGGGTTTCTCCTCGGCTCTTAGTCGCTCTCGATGTCTCGCCTTTTTCTCTTTGATCATCTAAAATCAACAAACAAACAAACAAATGAACAGACAAACATAACAATAAGATCTATGTCGAATGAGCATACAGCAAGAAGTGCTGTAGGTCCAGACCTTAGGTCCAACAAGTGTATTGAAATATGAGGTGTAGTGTACAAATGTTGACTGTTTCACAAGGTGTGGTAAAACTAGCCTCCCAAGGTGATCCATGGAGCATTCTGTTTTCATGAGCATTTGGTTAGCGGGCTTTCACTTAAGTTGAACCCTGATGAGGGAAATGGAATGTTCCACGGATAACCGAGCGAGGCTAGTTTTACTACACCACGAGTTAAAGCAGTCTATACTTGTTTTATAATGCCACACTCACAGATTCTGCTTGATTTCAAGAGATAGTAACCCTCCTGCTGTTTGAACCGTCGCAGACAGAAAAAAAATTCGATCCTCTTCCCCTGTCGTGTCTTTTACACAGGCTAGTCACCAGCAGTCAGACCATATTTCAAGCAAGCACACGTCAAATTCAGTCAACTGACAAAAGCATGCAAGAAGTAGGCACAGCTGGCTAATATCAATCACCTAAAGTCAAAGCATAGCCGTGTCAAGTGACATAAACAGTCACGTCACAGATAGTCAATCCTGCTTTATGTAGGCTGGGAGCTCTTAACTTTTGAAAGTACATGTAGTCACTTGATTGATTTTGACTGAAAGGACAAATTTGCACAGAATGTAGGTTTGCACAGGAGGGTTTAATAAAAACTGATGAATTCAACCAAAATCCCATTAAAATGTACTTCTATTTAAATAGGAAATTGGATTAAACTTTACTTAACCTTTTCCAAAGTACCACTTCTTGAAATGTTTCTTGAAAACTCAACTCTGTAGAACAACACCTGCAACGTGCAACTCGTATGCATGTGCACACAAACCTCTGGTCGTTACATTGGTTTCTACGCGTATCATGCTTTTTCAAAGCGAGGCAGCCATTGTAGAGTCTTTTTGGCTGTGCACAGTAAGATAGTAAAGATAGTGAACGCCATGTAACTTGCTCTCGGCCAATCAAGATACAGAATCTGAGAGTGAGGTGTTATAATGTATGAATGAAATATAACATGGTTTGAGTGTGGATAGTCAATATTGCTGGCATTAGTTCCCATCGAATAGAACAAAGAGTATGTATGTATACGGACATCATCTTTACAAACTTAAAGTGTCATGCCGGCAGATAAAAATCACAACAACGAATGACCAAACAATCTTTCGTGCACCACGTCACGCTTGTTAAAGAGACATTCTACTGTAACACTATTAAAAGTCAACATGTTTCCAACAAAACACTGATTAAACTACTGCCTGACCTCATACAGTTTTCTCCTATACTCGCCGACTGATAACTGGACATCGTCATCTAAGGGAGGGACGACATCGTAGTCTAGTACCTTCTCCTCAGCTGCATTGTGAAACCTTGGCAAATTGACAAGAACAAGGTAACCAGTCTTGCAACTCTTCGAATTTTGGACTTGTGTCAGTGAAATGGAAAGGGGTGGCGGGGTGGAGAGAGGTGGGGGGATTAGCCTTAACACTTACTCCTGAGGGAACTTGTTGAATACTCATTATTATTTATATCAGGCTTCCAAGTTGTAAAAATACATCAGTGTACTGCATACTTTGGGAAAAGTATCCGGATGACTACACAATATTTTTGTTGTTATTATTGCATAGACATCCGGGCATTTTATGGTATCGGCAAGCCTTATGCTGGTTTCCACTCAATCAAGAGCCTAGAAACTCACAGTTCTCAACCAGTCAACGGAGCATAGCAGTCGCACAGAAGCGGCGTGAGATCTGCTTTGGTAAGCGAGGAAGAATTAGAGAACTAAAGACTCCCACAATACACCTCAACTATACTAAAAAGTTTTGGATGATGCATCTTTCCTTCCTTAAACCCTCAAACTATTTTGTTCCCTTATCCCTTTTGATCTTCACCTACACTGGTCTACTCTACCCATGTCCCCCAATCCCTCTTTTGTGTTTCTTCTTCCAACCCTGCATGGTTGTATATCCCCTAGATGTTTGTTTCTTATTCCTCTGTCATCTGCCTCTGAAGAAGGCCTTGCTAAACATGAAATATTAGGCCACTCTAATTTTTTGATTGTAAATTTCAGGTTAATCCAGTCAGTGAGCAGTTCGTAGCAGTTTTATTCTTTTCATGATTCCCCAAGTACCTTCAAAGCAACCAAAGAAGGCAGTAAATATTCTGTGAGCCTATCTGGCCGTGAAGAATCCATCGATGAATTTTGAGATGCTGGTTAAGCTTATAAATGCTAGCGAGTATTCTGTTAAAGTTCTATGCGAAAGTGAGGTAAATTTATTTCGTTCGGTTCAAAGTCTGCCTGATATAAAAATTGTTTGAAGTCATTCTTCATGCAACGCTTTTTGCACACAATATGGCAGCGTCATGAAATTGGTCCTTCGTGCAGCAACAGTGGGAGAGGAGCCGAGGGGGGGGGGGGGCAGGGCAAGTACAAAATAGGGGGGAGGGGGTGAGGAGGAAGAGACCTACTTAGCTACATAAGGATGTTTGAGTGCTTCGGCAGCAGTTAGTCTCTTCTCAGGGTTGAAGTGGAGTAGTCTCCTCAGCAGGTCGATGGCATCGGCCGGTGCTTTGGGAAGGATATCCTCAAAGGACTGCCTATGTCTACACATGAGATGTCAAAAGCAATGCATTTTATACACAATCAGCCCATTAAAGCTGGAGTCCATCATTTGCAGCTATCCAAAAAGTAACTGGCGTAATTCTTGTTGAGAAACATACTTGGTTGAAAGATAATAAGGGGACTAAACTCCCTGTGAAATTATTCTTTCTGGAAAGCTGTCATTTTGAAGAAATCAACAAAAGAAGGCCTTTCCAACGGTGCTTCTTAAGACGCACCGTAGGAAATTTAAATTAGTAGTTTGTTTTATCTTGCGGCGAAGTGCGCACAAGCATTGGCACGACGCACACGCGCGCGCGGTTGCTATTATTCGTCGGATCAGTGCGTGACATTGCGTAGCTGCAATCGGCTCATTGAGAACGTGTCTTGGACGCTGAATTCAGGCCCAATTCAAAACCTGATTCAGCAACTTTTGATTTGAAATCGAGATCCTAGAATGCTGTTTTTCTCAGAATATACAGCTGAAGCTGAGCTGAAACTTCATCAGGTTAGTTGTTCAATACCCTTCTTTAGATTTTGAGCACGTTTGTTGATGGACTATACCTTTAAGCATAAATTCGTCCTTAATTTATCCTGGATAATTAACGAAATCACTCCAAATTGTTTAACTGATTTGCTTTCTGATCGACTTGTAAACAGCTTGAGTAATATTCTGCAAATGTAAATGAGCAACGGAAAAGTAGACCAATTTCTTAATAAAAGTTTTTTTTAACGGTATTCATGTAATATGTTTCAACTTTTTGTGCACTCAATGAAACTACATTGTATATGTTGCCATGAATATCAAAGCCAAAAATTGAAGGTGAACTTTAATCTGTAAAAATTCTATTTTCTCAAAACTTAGTTTTACAACTGAAGTTGGTGGTCTATATTTCCGATAATACTGAACCCAATACCCCTAAATGTATTGAACAAAATACCCCGTATCCTAAAAAAAATAAAAAAAATCATCAGATTTTAAGGTTGTTTTGTGAAAAAAAATCAATAGAATTTTGAGAAAACATTTTCTCAAAAGCTATATCTGCAAGATTGAGAAAATTAAACTCAACTGCGTGGATTATTCCTACCTTACGGAGGCTTTGTCGAGAATTGAGGACACGTAGTTGGAGTCGATAGCTTCTTTATCAGCCTTTGAGGGAGCGTCGATGATATTCATGATTCGCTCGATCTGATTTAGCGTCGACGTTCCGGGGAAGAGGGGTTTGCCGCGGAGCAGCTCGCCCAAGATGCAACCCACGCTCCACATATCCACTCCTTTGGTATATCTGCATCGGGAAACGAACAAGGTGCGTGTGAACGACATCCATTCCCAGTACTGTGCATTTCCGAATCAGTTATTATTCAATTATTCAAACTTGAATTTTAATCAAATAGGCGCAACATGCTGATTACATTTTACACCTGCCATGCCCTGGCTGGTCCGAGTTATCATCCGTTGTTCAACGGAGCCGGCAAGCTCCACAACAACGTCTGACATATGTGAGCATGCAACTTTTATACGACGACGCGTGCCAGCCAATCGGAGTTGATTTTAGAAATTGTGACATCATTTTTGCGCAGAAATTTGGCCTTAGCTGTTGATTGGTCAATGGGCTGCCATGTTTTTGTACTTTACAACAATGGGTTACTGAAGACCCGTTATAGAAGGCGCCCGCTGAATGGTCAGAATCTGGAGGTCAAGAAGCAGTCTTGTTTTGCACAACTCCAGCACAGCACCAGACCAAAATGCATAAGGAGTAGGCCTGGGCGAGTAGTGGATTTCTTCTACTCAAATTCCCATAAAAGCAGAAAAAAAGTGACATATCTGTCAGTATGACGTGAAGTAACTGACAAACAAAGAGCTTGCAAGTCGCACCACATTCTTCAGCACTTAAATATCACTTACTGTGCGACATTTGGGGTTATTTACTTGAATTTTAAAAAAAAAATGACTAATGGTGCGAATTGGTTAATACCTCTTGGATGCTAGGAGAATTTCAGGCGCCCTGTACCACCGAGTTGCTACATATTCTGTGAGCGCTGGATCGCTTTCGCTCTGAGTAATGTCCAGTTGTGTTATTGACCTCGCTAGGCCGAAATCGGCAACCTTGACAAAACATTCGCTGTCGAGAAGAATGTTGGAGGGCTGTGGATTGAAAAAATATAATAATAATATCCAAAAATAAAAAGATGAAACAAACTATCTGCAAATGATCACAAATCAATATCATCCCATTCTTGATTTCTATTAGTTTCTCAAAAGTTGTAATGGAGTGTGCTATTTAAATAAATTTTTCCAAATTTTATAAATTCAGAGTCAAGGATTCAGTTTGAATGCACAGCTTTATTGGCTTTCGCATAGTTGCGTAAAAGCCTTTCTTTTTGTTCTGATTTTCTTTCTTTCCCCCCTTCTTTTTGTCCCGTGGAAAATCCCATAGACTTTGTACACGTCTTTTCCAGCCTTTATTTTTGGCATTCATCTTTGTCATAAATCCTTCAAAGTTAGCATAGGCATAGTTCCTATAGCAACGATGTGTCCCGAAGAGTGACGTCATGATGACGTTATCATGTGTCACTAGACGTCATCTTAAAGGTGCATATCTGAAGATCCTTTTTCTACAGAACTGTATATCCAATTGGGTTGAAACTTGGTACGTAGGTAGACCAGGATGTGTTATATGTAAAAATTGAGGTGACGTCATCATGACGTCATCAAGTGATTTTATATATATTTTGAAATATTGAAGCTTAGCGCCATATCTCACGAATGCAACATGCTAAATTCAAAATTCTTTTTGTTATGGGTTTGTTAGGGCATATGCACAAAAAAAGTGACAAGTGTGTGATGTCATGATCACGTCATCAAAAATGTCATTTTCAAAACACATACACAGGTAGGTCCGATTGTCTTGAAACTTATTACATTTGATTCTACTAGCAAAATTTGACATAAAATACAACCAAGTTGACTTCAAACTAGGCACACAAAAAGACCCCAGTTTTAAGTTGGCCCAATACAAGTGATGTCATGATGATGTCATCAATGGTCTTGTGACGTCATTTTAAAGGCGTCCATTTAAAGATTGTGTATCTAGAGAACTTCCAGTCTGATATGATTTTTAAAAAATGCTATCGGCGATATCGATATCAAATAATATCGAATAATCGAGTTATATCGATATATCGACGGTGCTTATCATCACTACACCTACAGAAACTACATTTCTGCACTAAATGATGGCCAAATATTACAAATCATCAAGTGTCAGTTGTGCAGCATTCCATGACTTTTGTCTTGGAATATCAACTTTCTTTCCGTGACTCCTTGTAAAATATTAAACAAAATCCCATGGCTTTCCAGGATAGCTTTAAATTCCAGCATTTTCCATGACTGTGAGAACCCTGCAATAGTGATGATGGTGGACTGGGGTCAACATGACAATAATGATTGGGTTTTTAAAGCTTACCTTGTGGTCTCTGTGGATGACGTTACCGGAATGCAGGTACATTGTAGCGTTAATCAGCTGGTACATTATGTATCGCTGGTGGATATCTTTCAGTATATTGCCGTTCTTTATGACTGCGTGCAGGTCTGTGTCTACATTTGAAGACAACAAAAACAGGGAATATGTAAGTATTACAGCTGGTTCATACTTCATGCGTAAGCGAATGCAAATTTGTGACGTCATGGAAAGTATTCACGCTGTAATTGGCAGAAGTTGAACATATGTCAATTCTGGCAAATTTCATTGAGAATTATTTGTAATGTCACATTCGTTTTGCATTCGCATTTGCGTAAAGTATGTACTGGCCTTTAAACTGAACAAAGAAAATTCTTGAAGCTAGATTTGAACATTCGACCTCTGGAATGCCGTACTGATGCCCGAACAGCCGAGTTATCTAGCCCTACATCTGTGGTATTCGAAACTGCCTATTTCTGGGTGCTAGTCAGATGCTATTAACTTTATATGCCATGTCATTTGATAGGACTTTGAATAGACACATAAACCAAACTGCAGTCAAAGCAAACAGAACCCTCGGTCTACTCAAAAGAACACTATCCAACTGTGATATACACACCAAAGAAATAGCATATAAAGCACTTGTTCGACCACTACTGGAATATTGTCAAGTCATATGGGACCCCCACCAATTGAACACCATCAACGTGCTTGAAAAAGTTCAGAGACGTGCAGCCAGGTTCGTCCTGAGGGACTGTTGTTTCTCATCGAGCGTCACTGCAATGCTCAAAGACCTAGGCTGGGACCCTTTGGAAGAAAGACGCAACAGAGCTCGACTATGCACAATCTACAAAGAAATTCACGGTATAATTCCATGTAATATCTCCCACCTGCAAATTCATCTACCCAGTGACCAGCTAACTACCAGCAACTACAAGACAAACCAATAGCGCTTTAAATCTTCAACGCCTCCAGTCAAACAAAAACAAATACCTCCACTCGCTATACCCATGGACAATCCCTGAGTGGAACCTCCTACCCGACTCTACTAAAAACCAACCCACACTGAACACCTTCAAAACCCAACTAGACAAGATAAATATCAGCCAACTTTCCACCCATGCGCACTTCAAAATTCAGTAATCAACCAGCCCCACCACAGCAACTTACAGATACAGATACAGATACAGTTACAGATATCAAGGATCACACCTGAAGTCATTCATCACTTTCTGTATTCAACTGTGGGACGTAGAGCCACCCAGGCATGATGATCTGTAGTGAGCTGACACAGCCGCTGAGCGCTAGCAACATTCAATACTATGGCAAAATACATATGCTACAGTATTGAAAAAGACTCTTTTTTTCAATCACACAAGGAGTAGGGGCTATTGTTTTGGTAAACTTACCCATGTATTCAAACACCAAGTAAATGTCTTTGTCGTTATCCGCCTTCATCACATTCAACAGCTTAATGATATTTTTGTGATCTCCAAATTCCTGTTATAAATAAAGATTGCAGGCAAACCACATTGATATTCACAATTTGAAAAAAAAATCCTGCATGTTTACACTGAAATTTCTCATTTTTTAAATATGAACGATTTAAGAATCATTCTATGTTACAATAAGCAGCAAAAAAATGTCTACAGAAGTTTTAAAAACATGATTCCAAAAATCAATTAGGCCATTCTTGTAATTTTTGTAATAATTCTTCCATTTAGTTGGAATCTAGTTCCTTATTATTTTTCTTCAAAGTGAAAGGAATGAAAATACAAAGTTTTTTTTTTCGCCGTTGATGTGTTTAAGAGTAGTTAACCCCTTAAGGACGGGTTATAATGGGGACATTCCTCCACACATAGAGCAAGTGGCCCGCATGACTGCACAGCCTTTGTGTGGTAGCAGAACTGCACAAAAGCAGCAGCTGTGCAACTACCCACTAGCTGTGTGCCACGGCATACCACAGCTGGCAACTGCATTCTAATAAGGATTAGCGGCCGTGGCCATGACCGCTTCCCGTGCGCATGGGGTTAATGACGAAATCAAGCAGGATGAATCTGAAGTAACCAAACCCATACGATATGCCAATTGGTTTAATGTACAAGTGTTTCCCTGTTTTCTAGCAATACCTGCAAAAACATGATTTCTCTGAATGTCCGTTGTGCATCTGTCTGGTTTCTGAACGCATCAAAGATCTTCTTGAGGGCAACAATCTCGCCCGTCCGTCGGTCAATTGCCTTCCAGACAATCCCGTAGGCCTGGCAGGAAAAGAAAGAATAGACACAAGTGCAACAAGGAAAGATTACCCACATAAATGAAATGTGAATTTCACAATTATGGCTCTCAGAGTGAGCTTTTGCCATGTTTAGGCCAAAAAAGGCTGTGGTTTCTGGTACGGAGCTTGCCCCCAAAGTGGTGCGGCGACGCAGCTTTTTTTTTTTTTTTCCTTTTTTTTTCTTCAAATGTCTGCTGATGATTGCAAATAAAGCCCCAAAAATGTAGTGCAAAAATGTATGGGAGCCAAGAGAGGCTACATAAAGCTTATACTCAATCGTAACCCCATCTAAAAACATGTTAAAATTGTGCAGCAGCAGGATTCCACAAACCAGTGAGTTTGGCGGTTTTTAGACATCATTCATCCATACATTGAAAACACACTTTTTAATTTTGCTTAAAAAAAATAAATTTGGAAAATTATTTTGTAGGTATCTCCATCAATGAAGGTAAAGTTTTTAACCAATGTCACTTGACTTCGCGATTCGTGGATTAGTTGAGCCGACAGCAGCTGGAATAATTATTGCCATCAGGTGTAGCATGAATTTAGGTTTTAGGAAATACGGACTCATTGGTGGTACATATTGCACATGCTTATGCATAGATAATTAGGAGAGGGACCGGTCACATGAGAGGGTTTAACCAATTGTCCAATATAAGGGAAAAAGAGACCGATTTTCATATAAGTCCGATTTACATATGACACCGGAACTAGGAGTACAGTCGTTTTCCTAGTTCCGGATAGCAAACTACATTCAGGCTGCTTTCAGCTCAACTACTCCACGAATTCAAGTGACATTGATTCAAAAGTTTACCTTGACGGAGAAACCACGAAATAATTTTCAACATTTAAGCTCTTTTTATTTTGATTTTACGACGTCAGAAAGTACCGATGTCAGTTTTTCTAGTTCCGGATCGGTTCAATCAGTTCGGAATCGATCAAAACTGCTTCACGCGAAAAAAAAATCATGCCAAAAAATCAAAATTTTCAGCCAGAACCAACCGAATCAAGCATAATTTCTGATAAAGTATTTTTTCATTTTCCGAAAATAGTTCAATCAAAAGAATTCCAGCAAATTTTAAAAAGAGAAAAAACGTAATGATTTTGAAACATTTGTCCGCAGCGCATGGACGGACGGACCAAAAATCTTCGACCCAGTACAGAATACGTCACACAAAATTGATTAACGCGCGTGTACTTGGGTCGTAAGTCATGTTGTAAGTGCATGCGCTATCCGGAACTAGGCAAAAGCATACGGTCATTCGTTGGCAAATTTTCAAAAATGAGACTTTACAACTTATTTTGATTCAACAAGCATTCGATGGAAGAGTTTATACGACTGTAGTGCATGAACAAAATATTCGAAAATCACACGGTACAACTACAAGTGATATATCCGAGGAGAACATTTTTCGTTGATTGGCAGCTACGGCGATTTTCTACAACGAAGTGGCTATCGTTACGGCAGCCGTTGTTTAGCGCCCTCTACAATACTTTTTTGATACGCACGCAGGTATATAATTATTTGTTTTCCCACGTTTGAGCGAGCAGTGCGACAGCTCAGTCGATAGAGGGAAGGATTTTGCAGCGCGAGGTTGCGGGTTCGCATCATTTTGTTTGTCAGTTTTGCACTCGAATTTTTTTCCTTTTCTAACCTGAGGCTTTGGAGGATTTTTTTTTAAATGGAAATAAAGTCCAAATTTCATAACGTTCAAATTCACTTTTTTTCAATCTAATTTTATATTTTCTTCTCATGTTTTTATAAAAGTTGCACTACCGACCGTAACGATCATGACGATAGAAAATGGAAAATGCGTTACGGCTGCCGTAACGATAGCCACTGCGTTTCTACAAACCGTCCAAACATGTCGAAGTGTGAGTCGGAAATCCGGCCAAAATTCCTCTTCAAAAGATTTTTTATCGGAAAAATCTTTGTGCATCAACATGATCAACTTGATCAAGGAGCTTACATTTTCCTTTTCAAAATAGATAGTGGATATTTTGCCGGAGGTAATGACGGCAAACTAACGTTTACTAAAGGTTTGCCGGCGGCAATCCATATCAACAGAGGGCGCTGTACCCTTTAAGATAGGGCTGAATTATAAGACATATTAAATTCCCACCAAAAGTTGTGTAGCACGTTTGGTGTAGTGGTTATGCAAAGGCTCTAGTAAGCGGGATGACTCGGGTTCGATTCCGACCGCAGCACATTTTTAATTTCTTTTTCTCATCCCCAAATAAATTAGAATTTTCTTCTTTATTATTTTAACATGTCTCAAAACATTTTTTTGCAGAGTATTACATTTTCTTTTTCAGATTTGTGGCTCTGGAGGATTTTTTTTTAAAGGGAAATAAAGTCCGAAATTATAAAATGGTCTGAATCCCATCTTGTGAATTCGAGGTTACAACGATAATTTTGGCATGGTCTGGAGCCAGACTAAAATTTGTCACCGGAAAATGTACAAGTACAAAAAACAGTAACTGCGCATGTTCAGTGCATATCCGGCAAACTAAAGTTTACTAAAGGTTTGCCATCTCCGGCAAAATATACACTGCCTTCAAAATACATATCGTCAGAATTTTTTGTATTGGAGACTAATCCAAAAGAGCTAGAGTTAGGTTTTTATTTGAAGCTATTATCCGGAACTAGGAAAGCGACTGTAGGAGGAGAACGACTGTAACCTACAGTAGGCTACAGTTGTTCTCCTGGGTGTCGGACGCTTCGCCCCATTTCCACGTCGCCCCATGTCACTTCGCCCCTAACCACTTCGCCCCATCCCCACTTCGCCCCATCCCCACATCGCCCCATCTCCGCTTCGCCCCATCCCCACTTCGCCCCATCCCCGCTTCGCCCCATCCCCACTTCGCCCCATCCCCACTTCGCCCCATGTAGTATGAAAAAGGTGAAGGCTAGGGGTGCAGACCAAATAAACTGCCAAAGACCCCAGATAATAAATGCTCCCAATTCTAGAAACTTAGGAAAAATACAAACTCTCTGATGAGGTGCTCGAGACACAGATGAGAGAAATGATGGCTCTATCCCATTCAGAGACGCCTCTCCTATCGGCTTGTGAATAAAATCATCAGCCGCTGGATTCAAAAGAATCCGTAGGTATGGGTCAGTGAGTTAAAAGGAACTCACTGCCTTGAGGAAAATGTTCCGTCGAAATTTGTCTGATATGTGACACTTACAACTTCATTTAGATGAGATTCGTTCCTCCAAGAGTGAAATTAGGATGTCAAAGGTATTGTTGTTCTCAGATAAGTGGGAGACGGGTTGGTTTAGCCGGGTTGGGAACAAAGTTGGATCTTTTACTTCAAGCTTTTTTCTCGGTAGGGGAGAGCCTAGCTAGAGAGGTTGGTTATGAATTGTTCATTTGGTGATGGGCTAATTCTTTCCGTTGGTTAGCAATTAGTGAATCTGTTGAAATTGTTTTTAAGCCAAAAAAATAGATGAGATTTTTTTTTTTACATGTATTGTAACAGCTGGGGTGAAGTGGGGATGGGGCGAAGTGGGGATGGGCGAAGTGAGAATGCGGCGAAGTGGGAATGGGGTGAAGTGGGGATGGGGCGATGTGGGAATGGGGCGAAGTGGGGATGGGGCGAAGTGGTTAGGGGCGAAGTGACATGGGGCGACGTGGAAATGGGGCGAAGTGTCCGACATTCGTTCTCCTACTACAGTACAACTCCCGCGTCAACATTGTCATTGGCACGATAGGTGTTGGCCCCTATTTCCGACATGCAGGCAAAAATTCCGTACGATTTTACATGCCGATTCAATTCACTGACAGCAACCCCATTTGAAAATCAAAAGAAACACGCCTCCGTAAGCAGTACTTACCCCTTTCCCCAACCTCCTTTTAATTTCATATTTTCTTAAAATGTGACTTTCGATGTCGGAGCTCATTTTTTACCGGTTGAAAATTCAACACACTGAATCGCAGTCGGAATGTCATATACAAATGTACACGGTGTCGAACACCCTTTGCTGTTGCGTGAAAAAAACTATACCCAGGTAAGAGAAACCTGACTATAAAATTGACAATTTTTGCCAAGTAGTTGGTGCTAAACCTTTCACCTCTTTGCCTTTCGCAGAGAAAAACATAGTACGTATTCATTTTAATGTTTCTTTATGTACCTTTGATAGTTCAGCCATAATAGTTTTTAAAATCAATTTATCGATTATATGAGGCGTCTCTGTTAACTGGGTCTGACTTTTAGTTGAGGTGAATTGTGCCTTTGTGCTTGTGTAGCGGATGAATATTACACTTTTGGGTGAGGTTAATGACCGAATGACATGGTGAATTTATTTCTCATGCATATTCATATACTGCGGTGCCAAGGCAACCGACGCAGTGTATAGTACAGGGTTTCACGGCGAATATTTTTAAATTTCCACACTCTTCTTGTCTCTTCACGCAAATGACAATTTTACATGTGACCTATTTTATAGAATGTTAGGTGTTAAATGTGTCTTATCGATACATTTTAAAAGTAGTTTTCTTAAGATTAGAAAAATAATTTTTAAAAAATCAAGAAATATTATCTTGTCTCACTTCCCCCTCAAAAAAGAGGAAGGACTGAAACAAGAAAATATTTCCCAAAACAACAAGTTAGTGTGTTTATCTCTTGTAAGAAATCATTTTACACAATTGCGATTTGAACGTTTGGGTATCTAGAAAGCCTAAAGTTGATATGTCCGTGCTCGCTTGAGGTGCGGTACTCGGAAATTAATTTTTCCAGATTTCAACTGAAATTGTTTTTTTATTATTATATAGAAAAGTCAAAGTCACGAAAGAGACGTGACAATGTCGGCTCATATGATGGCCAGTAGCAGATAATTGATTAGGTTTAACATTTGGAATTGGGAGCCGATGGAGCATCCAGCTTTTAATTTCTGAGGTATAATAATTAATCTATCAAATTTCGGTACAAATAACTTTTTTTTTGTGCGAGCAAAGTAGAATGTATTGTAATGGACAGTTTGTACAGCACTTTTGTTGCTCTTGTTCACTAGCTGCCGTAAATGTAAACATGTAAATAGGCCAAAAATCCGTCCGCCGAGCTCATGAATAACAGTTACTTCCCCTTAAATATTCTATATTTGAGAGTTTTGAGAGCCATAAAATTGGGGAATTGAAGAGTAATGAACCTCTGGCCCTTTTTTTTTACCATGTTGTAGAGGCCGGGATCGTTCTTTAAGATGGCTACTTGTCCGCTCTGGGGAAAGTAGGGGTCGTCTTCTTTGGGCGAGAATATCTCGAAAAGTCAATGGTCAACCCACCAAAAAAATTAAAAGAAAATGAAAGATGACACATTTATCATCATTTTTCTGTGCAGCTTGAATACCTGTGAGAGTTCTGAGTATTTTTAAAAGAATTTTGAATTATGCGCATTTAGCAAAAGTGTCTATAATTATGGGAATTTTATTGCAGGGTTGCACCCTCTAGAGCTGCACAGAATCTTGTGAAGGAAGTAGGGATGTCATCCTGGGTAACTTATCATGCCCTATATATTAAGACATAATTAAAGCTCATGTAGCTGTTTAAAGGGTGCAGGCTAGTCTGTTTCCCTGACCCAATTGTCTTTTGGACTCAAAAATATCTTTAGGTGGGGACGGGAAACAGTCTAGGTGCAGACCAGTAATTCGGTCCGAAATTGCCTACGCCGGCCAAATCACGATTTGCATGCCCTCAAATTCTTCAGTATTTGAGCACATTGTGGGCCATGAACTTGAGGGTTCGTACAAAATATGGATGGAAGCCGTGCATTGGAACGTGAGCTTGTATTTCTGTACAATTTGGATGAAATTGGGGTCCTAAAAGCGCTCTAGTTTTGCAATGGAGTGTAGGCATAGTTTTTCAAAATGGCGATTGGCTTCAGGACTATATTTTAAGGCGGATAGATATATTCGGGGGGAAATTTCCCCCCAAACTCATCAAATAAAAGAAAGACGATGTGTCTCGAATACCTTGGAGAGATTAAGTTTTAAAATTGCGCACACTATTCAGAACGAATTAGGAGCGCCCTGCTCTTAATTCGAAAGTTGAAATTAAATAATTGATATGCTTGCTATGGGCATTTGAAAGCTCATTGAAATTTTCGATTTGGGGGATTTAATTCTTTTTGTAATTATAAAAAACTTATTTATTTACGATCATAAGTAAGACTTTTTGACACGACGTATGGAAAGACGTCGCGCCGGCAGATACTATCACATTCTAGCACTGTACAAGAGTCGCCCAGGCCCCTATGCAGGAAGGGGGGGGGGGGGGGTCCAAGCCCCAGCTCTGTTAAAGAATTGTTTTCATAGAAATTACGCGAAAATAATGTGAAACCCCCCACCTGCTCTGACACCCCCCCCCCCCCAAATCTATACTGGTAATAACGGACAGCAGAGGACAGCAGAGGTAGCTTCGTCGTAGGGTATTTGTACGCTATTCTGTAAATAATATAGTTTTAATAATCGTCGGATTTGAACTGCGCCCAAATAGTATGGTGCGAGCCCCCGCCTGATTTTCGGAGGCCGAAATGTCCGGAGAAATAACCTGTCTACATTGCAGATTTTCTTGCTGATGAACTCCCCCCTCCCCCTGCCAAAATGTCTGGTTCCGCCCCTGCCGCCTGTTGGGTTCCACGCTTTTGGCGGGTCATTTATATTCATCATCGGAAGTTTTTCAAGGTGTCAAAAGACAACTTATGAACGGACGAGCCATCGGCTGATATCCCGCTGCCTATTGCTTGGTGGTGGCCCACAGGCCTTCCCACATTCTAGGGACTCCAATAATCATTGCTTACCCGACAAATTTCATTTTTTTTCATTCTACATGAGCAACAGAAACTTCATTGGGGTCAAAATAGTGATAAATCGATATCACATTTTATATCATGAACCAACTTACGTCAGAGAGGATCTAGTATAACCTTTGCTGGGGTTGAGTTGGGAGGAGGGGGAGTGGTTCTGGCCCGTCAGATACATAATAACCACTCAGAATATCTATACTTTATTGTGTCAGATCAGGAGAGGGGTTCGCCCCCCACTCCCCCCAGCCCCTCTGGATCCGTGACTGCATGTCCCTGACAGTCAAAGGCAAGTCTGTAAAAGCCCCATGTTATGGAATTTTAAAGTCAATCCTTAAGGTGCATTCGGGTTTTCCAATTGACTTTTTTTTTCTATTTTGTATTTCCAGTTCTAAAGATTATGGGCTTTGTTTTCTTGCGTTTTCCTATTTTGCAAATCACTATATATTTGGGGAATGTTCACAATTAAAGGTACGTGATTATTTTCAAACAAGTAATACACACATTACAATGTACATTGCGTACTGCAGATCGAAAAAAAACCTTCGTTTTGATTATAGTCAATTACTACAAGTTCAATGATTTATTACATGACAGCCTGTTCTAACTGACAGGCCTTGCTATGGCATGTACTGCACAAAACGCAACTAGCGGGTGTGAGTGACTACAACTTGCATTTTCTCCACAATTCTTGGGTCTAAAGACTTGCTTGTTTGTGCAGGTTGTAGAGCTATTCAGCAGCTTCCGAACAACGTAGAGTTTGTCTAGAATTTCCTATGTTAAGGTAGTTTTGGATCGAGACATAGAGAGGCGGTGTTGCATGGCGCTGACAGGCCTTGCTATGGCATGTACTGCACAAAACGCAACTAGCGGGTGTGAGTGACTACATCTTGCATTTTCTCCACAATTCTTGGGTCTAAAGACTGGCTTGTTTTTGCAGGTTGTAGAGCTATTCAGCAGCTTCCGAACAACGTAGAGTTTGTCTAGAATTTCCTATGTTAAGGTAGTTTTGGATCGAGACATAGAGAGGCGGTGTTGCATGGCGCTGACAGGCCTTGCTATGGCATGTACTGCACAAAACGCAACTAGCGGGTGTGAGTGACTACATCTTGCATTTTCTCCACAATTCTTGGGTCTAAAGACTTGTTTGTTTTTGCAAGTTGTAGAGCTATTCAGCAGCTTCCGAACAACGTAGAGTTTGTCTAGAATTTCCTATGTTAAGGTAGTTTTTGATCGAGACATAGAGAGGCGGTGTTGCATGGCGCTGACAGGCCTTGCTATGGCATGTACTGCACAAAATGCAACTAGCGGGTTTGAGTGACTACGTCTTGCATTTTCTCCACAAGTTTTGGGTCTAAAGACTTGCTTGTTTTTGCAGGTTGTAGAGCTATTCAGCAGCTTCCGAACAACGTAGAGTTTGTCTAGAATTTCCTATGTTAAGGTAGTTTTGGATCGAGACATAGAGAGGCGGTGTTGCATGGCGCTGACAGGCCTTGCTATGGCATGTACTGCACAAAACGCAACTAGCAGGTGTGAGTGACTACATCTTGCATTTTCTCCACAATTCTTGGGTCTAAAGACTTGCTTGTTTTTGCAGGTTGTAGAGCTATTCAGCAGCTTCCGAACAACGTAGAGTTTGTCTAGAATTTCTTATGTTAAGGTAGTTTTGGATCGAGACATAGAGAGGCGGTGTTGCATGGCGCTGACAGGCCTTGCTATGGCATGTACTGCACAAAACGCAACTAGCGGGATTGAGTGACTACGTCTTGCATTTTCTCCACAAGTCTTGGGTCTAATAACTTGCTTGTTTGTGCAGGTTGTAGAGCTAATCAGCAGCTTCCGAACAACGTAGAGTTTGTCTAGAATTTCTTATGTTAAGGTAGCTTTTGATCGAGACATAGACAGGCGGTGTTGCATGGCGCTGACAAGCCTTGCTATGGCATGTACTGCACAAAATGCAACTAGCGGGTTTGAGTGACTACGTCTTGCATTTTCTCCATAATTCTTGGGTCTTAAAGACTTGCTTGTTTTTGCAGGTTGTAGAGCTATTCAGCAGCTTCCGAACAACGTAGAGTTTGTCTAGAATTTCCTATGTTAAGGTAGTTTTGGATCGAGACATAGAGAGGCGGTGTTGCATGGCGCTGACAGGCCTTGCTATGGCATGTACTGCACAAAACGCAACTAGCGGGTGTGAG